TTTCATTTCAGTTTCTTGAAAAAGAAGATCAACCGGTCTCCATCTAGATTCAATTTTTTTATGTTTACATTTCGATCTTGCATAGTTTAGAGATGAAAGAATTGGGTCACTCAAAAGCATTAAATAATTGAATTGGTCCGTCATTGTAGCTTTTCAATCAAATTTACGAGTGTGTTGTAAACGAATATTTTTATTGTCTTTATTCCGAGCTTCGATTGCTTCTTCAGAGTACATTCCAATTGGTAGCATAAATCTAGTTATTGTCAGACTACTATGAATGAGTAGTTTGTGTACAGAGGCTGGCATGTAAAACCATGAGTACTCTCGAACAAAAATATTTGCAGTTCCCAAACAATACGTTTCATATTTGGCTATGTTAATTTTTTTATTTAAATTAATGACAGATAGAATAATGTATAACCTGTAGATTAAATCTTTCTTGACACCTGTTATTCGCGAAAACTCTACGTGCTGACAAAAAGCACGACGAGCAGTATTGCCATCATTTGATATCCCAGATCCGCGTTGAAGAGCATGTCAACAATAAGGCCAATTTTTAAAAACTCACGCTGAACAAACTTTTTTTTTACAGCTGCTTATTTTATATTTTCAGGTCCACTTATTTGCCATTCTTTAATATCAAGTCTATAACTTATATGTTGAATACACTCGAAACATCGAATCCATGCATGTAATGACGTTAACCCAAACTCTAAGCTTTGCGAATCCGTTGAACGGATCAGAGCTTTATCTAAGTTGTTCATTGATCTAGGAGTACATTTGCAAATATTACAAATTTAAGCCAATTTATTGTCACAAATTGCATTTACTGCTTTTCTATCAATCATTGTAAACTTAAGGTTGAAGCTTACTTCAATTACAAGCTTGTTTTCAGCTTCTGGTTCCATTATTTCTACATCAATAATAATTGCACTCTCCTCAAGCAAATCAATTTGCTTGTCAAAGTATTTTTTTTCTTCTCTTAAAACTAAAGGGTTTTCAGCAATATACTAAATTTTTAGTGGGCGGCAGAATCGCGTTGAAAAAGGCACTTGATTTTCCCAAATTGTCATAACACCATACGATAACTTAAGTGGCACTAGGCAAGTAGTGTCTAATCAAAACAAGTTTTGATTAGACATTAAAACATTACATTCATCGTTGTTGTTTATTTGGACGTAAAATTTTTGTTTATACTGTTTTTAGCTACTTGCACCATTGAAGCCCCATTTGCAATACAAAGTCATTCCTAAACAGGATTCAAGGAAATCAAGTTACAAAATTCTGTTTTTAACAGTAGTTATTTGCAACATTCGATGAACTGTATGGTATAACAATTCTTTCAGTGGAACTTTGCCTCTCATTCCATTTTCAGCTATATAAATACCATCAGGATAACACTTTTTTTTTTCGTCGCGAATGTTGTCATATGTAGGATATATATTCGCATTACATTTAATTGAGTTATTTCGCATAACTTGATATTGGGTCTTCGATAAATTCATAGCTATCATTAATGCTAATCCCTCTAGAGGCGTATTAGGTGCGATTTGCTTGTTTTTGTCCTAAATAAAACATTTTATTTCATTTGCCGAATCTACATTTGATAAACATTCTTTTAATACGTACAGCAAACTATATTGGTTTTTCTTTTTTAACCCCATTTCTGCTGCTCGTAAAATTTTATCATGATCATGATTTACTAACAATACGGATGCGTGACGACGTTTGCTTTGGTAGGACATATCTTCGTATTTTTTGCATGGTCTTCCAAATGACTGTTCATTTAAACAAGAAACATTAAAATCGACGGTTTGTGATGATTGTTCGCTAGGTTGCTGATTAATTAAAGACAAAATTTTATTGTTAAGCCAAAATGACTCGCCACTTAAAAATTTGCTCTTATTTCGAAAATATTTTTTGCTAAGTTTTGATCGGCATTTGCATACAAATTCAAGAAGAGCTTTTTCAAAACAACTAAAATCATCAATTAAATTGGTGGATACATTTAATTCGTTTTTGAGCATACTGATATACTGGTCTACGATTTGTCTTGACTTAAGTTGTGATGAAATAGTGTCTTTAATTTTTTCAAATACTTTAAGTCGAGTTATGTTATTAAACATTTTTATAAGATAACTTAACTATTTATGAGATAAGAGTTTTAATAATGCTATTTCGATAAAAAATTTAAATATCTATAATTGAGTGTAAATTTATTCAAATAATTGTATTACTTTCGGAACAGAATTGCAATCAAATCGCTGCAATTATCAACTAATTAGTCTTCATATAATCCTATAGTATCATATAAACTTCAAATTTCCAGAAAAATAATTTTTTTTACGTCACAATGCATTGTAAAGTAAGAATTAAATTAGCCTAAAATCTTGAAATTTCAAAATCGATTTTAAGTCTAAGTTATTGCTAGTTGCAGCTGATTTTATTTAATAGTATTAAACAACCGTTATACTTCCTAAATATCATTAATTCCAATTTTAAGAGAGCGGCATTTGGTTGGAATCGAATACTTAAATATTTGATTTTTACGTATTTATAGTGAAATGATTTTCTTTTTTTTTTCCTTTTTAGAAAACAATAAAAAAGTTTATTATAAACAAAAACGGTTCGATGTGTTTGATAAAAAAAAAAAAAAAAAAAAAAAAAAAAAAACTATATTCCTTAAACAAATATCGTAACTTTAAATTGATCTTTTTATAAAAGCAAAAAAGTCGTCAATTTTGAACTTAAAAATATATCATAAAGAATACATGGTCGCAGCTGTTTTTTTTTTTTTTTGAACAATAACTGCCGTTTTAGTAAATGCTAAAATCAGAAAATCAAACAATCTTCGAGTGGCATTTAGAAAAAGGAAGACGAGGAAATTTAGAAAAACCCCTTTAAAATACCAACAATTCTAAGACATATTATGAATAAATTAAATACAAATATATAACTAAAACATTTACTTTTTATTAACACTAAGTTAATATGTTTACTTAAAAAAAAAAAGTCCAAAGCTTTTTTAATTGAAAAAAGTTATGTAAATTTTGAGGATAAGTATTTTTGAAAAAAAATTTTTTCCGAAAATTCGACAATTTTAAAGCCATTATGAATGGTTCTAGCAAGCTTGCTTTCATCTCTAGTAATTAAACGGATACATTTTTGAATAGAGTAAAGCATTTATGTTTCAATAGTAAAATTAAAAAAAAGTTTAAAAGATTTGACTTTTTTAGGACTTTTGGCCACGGAAAAAAAATTCTGGCCCACTGTGCCTCGTTATCAAGTATATTAAAATTGTTACATTATACAAAACCATTTAAATTTACGAAACAATGTTCTTTGTTCTTAAAAATAGCTTCTTTTTAAGAGTTTCTTGTGAGAGAGTTTTTTGTGACGTAAAAATTTGAGCATGGGTTTCCTGGTTAAGATCATTGTCGCGAAAGGTACTTTCATTGTGTTATATTTCCAACGCTTCTCTAACTTTTTTATTAAAACTATTTATTTCTATTTTTAAAGTATTGCGACCATTCCAGTAAAAATTTCCTCGGCAAATTTTAGAATATTCAGCTACAGATGAGTTTAGACGTTTTACCAAAAAGAGTATAAACAAATTGAGCATCAACTTGTTTGCCAGAATTACCTTACGACATTTTATTGGGCTCTTTTCTACTTAGGTCTTCTATAAAGACTTAGCAGACAATAAGAGTGATATGTAGCATCTGGGGCTATCAGGTCAACAGACTAAGCTTACCTAACAAAGTACTATCTTCAAGGATAGTAGTGCACTTTCTTATATGTTTTTCCAAATGTTAAAACCCGATATTTCAAATGTTAAAACCGGATGAAGTGCACTCTCAGACCTTTCACAGAAAAAACATTTTGAAATGGTTTTACAAGCTGTTCATAAAGAAGCCCTATTAATTGGTAGTTGATTTATTGAACAAAAACTATATTCTATCTTTTCTTTTGCGCTCTAGTTGGTTTAGTAGTACTTTAGTAGCCTTTTCCAATTTTATTTTGCTTTATTTATTATTACAGAACTTATGAATTTCATGCCGAATAAACTATCCATTAGAATATTTTTATTTACATTATCAAATAATATTGTAATTGGTGATTCGCCCAGGCTTTCAAAATTTTCAGAAAGTAAGTTCTATGGATTTAAAAAGAATAGAAAAACTAATTTTATATTTTACACAAGTTTTTTACATTTCCATTTTTCTTTAAAAAATAATTGTAATTTATTTTTGCGCACAATACCTCCCCTTTTACCCTCTGGATTATTAAAGTATTAGGCGGAAATTATAATGCGTAAAATAATAATTTATGATTCCTTAATTTATTTTCGATTAAAAAGGGATTAAAGTTTTGAATAGAAAAGTAAAACGACAGACCCTTTTGAAGCATTTTTATGAATAAAATTACTTTTTATTAAACATTGGCTCATAAAAACACTTTTATAAGTATTTTATAATTATCAAAATTTGTTTTTAATTATCTTTAATTTATTGAGAACTTTTGACGTGCATTTTTAACTTTTATTCTACACTTCGGCTTTAGCTTTTACCCTTTTTACAAATGGCGGACTATTGTTATAAATGGCGGACTATTGTTATAAACAAAAAAAAGCGACTTTATTTTTTATCCAATAAAATCCCGCAAGTTAAACATTTAGTTATATAATATATCTTTGGCCCGCACACTTAACTAATCCTTACCTAAGGTCCGCGCACTTAACTAACCCTTACCTAAGGTACTTACCTAAGGTCAAACCGTTGCAGCCTTAGACCATTAAAACTGAAAAAATTAAAACAGTTTTAATGGTCTAAGGTTACAGCAACGCTCCGCACCCTTCCCTATCTGCTCTTGTAGATAAACAAACTAATTATAATACCATTAAAAACAAATGATTTATCAAGTTCGACACAGGATAAATAAAATTACTCGTAACTTTTGGTATTTATTGTTTTTTCAATAGGATATTTTATAAGAAAATA